GTGCTAGAAAAATATCAGTCAAATAATGGTCTGCCAGATAAGAGGCTGACTCTCATACACGTATGTACTTTATAAAAAGGTGGATGAAAATTCATTAAACCTAACAGTCTTTACCATCAAGAAAAATAAAAAGATCTATTTTGACATACCATAAAATTCCGAAAATAAGCCCCTCCATGTATAGGCCCCTCCAAATATAGGCCCCCCAAACTCATAACGCAAAAAACCCTCTGTTAAATCACCCCTCCAAATATAAGCCCCCCTGGGGGCTTGTACTTGGAAATTGCCCTCAAATACAAAGTAAAACAAAGCAAAAACAGTAAATTTCCTTTCAACTATAATGCTAGCCCAATCGATTCTGAAATGCAAATTTCCCTCCGTAGATAAGCTCCTCCGAATATAAGCCCCTCCAAAAATAAGCCTCTCAAAAAAGGCCTTTGAAAAATATAAGCCCCGGGGCTTATTTTCGGAATTTTACGGTATTGTATTCTTATAAAATAAATGGTCTTTAAACCTCTGTATTTCAAATACCGATGTGGATAACTTCTTTTCATTCTTCATATCCTATTTGATAATTAGCTTCAACCTTATCGATTGCAGTATTATTCAAGAACTTTCACACACACAGGACACAATATTTAACAAGCATATTTCCAACACCCTCCTCATTCACTAAATGTTTTTCAATTTAAATTGATAACTTAATCTTTATTGAGTTCCTTTTCAATGTCTTTTTCTAAATCAAGAGGGGCTACAGTAGGTGCATATCTCTTCACAGGCACCCCATGTTTGTCACACAAAAACTTAGTGAAGTTCCATTTGATACTGTTGGTCAGAAAGCCATGTTTTGCATTCTTTAGGAACACATACAAAGGGTCTGCTGTGGGCCCATTAACATCAATTTTGCTGAACATATCAAACTTGACATGGTAGCCTCTTGCAAATTCCTTGATTTCTGCATCTGTGCCTGGTTCTTGTCCACCAAACTGATTGCAGGGAAAGGCGAGGATACGAAGTCCTTGCTCAGCATATCTGTGTTGCACAAATTAATGAAAGATGAAAATAATGAAAGCAACTTGCTACATGTATTTGCATCCACTAATAAGAGTTAGACTTGGTGGGATCCTTGATCAGGAGAGAAATAGTTATTACTTTACTTCATTCTAACAATAGTGTATATGATATGAAGTAACATTATTAATTTTCCTTTACAGTTAAGTTTTCTGTGTATGTCTTACCAATAATCC